TACAGTGAAGCTCATATTGCAGCTAGAGATCTCTCAACTGTCACTGCCCACATCTCCAACTCACATCTTCAAGACTCAAATGCTAAAGAAGACACACTCCATGCAGAGGTGTCCTCAAGATGAAATGGATTGCCTGTCCTCATCACACTTGCCCAACTTTCTCCAACTATAGTGCACTCCAGATGTTTTTTACTACAATTCCCATCAACCCTAGACAGCAAGGTGTGGGGAGATGAGTCAAAATCCATCCAGTTTGAAAAATCCAAAGATAAAAGACAAACACTCTGGGCAAACTCAGTAGAGACAGGTCAGCATCCAGCTAAAAGTGAGAGAATTCATGCCTCTAGCCACATTTCTATAAACTAGATGAATTTCCATCCAAATCCAAGCTCTCCACTCAATCTGGACAAAGAATACCCACAAGCTATGAATCCAGAGGCTCAGGATAAAACCACCAAGGCCACAAGGGGGCACCAGAGAGAGAAAGATGATCCATTTTACAGGGGTGGAGGGTAAGTTGAAGGAGGAAAATCATTTCCCTGTTCTTCCCCCCACCCATGTCACCCTCGTAGAAACAACCCTCATTTATGATATGGGAAGTGGGGAGGAGGAATAACCAGCATAAAGGGGAGAAATGATTCTCCTTCAACTCCAACCCCCCAATAAAATGAACTATTCTTCTCTCTCTAACACCCCCTAGTGGTCTCCATCCGGATAATGAATCACTATTACACCCCGCTTTTCCTTTCCACAAGGAGTCTATTCCAGTGTTGAGCAGCCATTGTCTGACTTGTTATCATGCACACTGCTTCTATAGCAGAATACAGGAAAAAAACAACAGAAGGGCATTTTCTCTCTCTTACAAACAAACACTTTACTGGAAAGCATACCTCAAAGAGGTATCCTGGGAGATTCAGGACACAGAAGAAAATGTGTCTTTGCCCAGCACAAAGACTATAGAATTTGCTCCCATAGGATGCAGAGGCAGTCCCAAATTTGGAAGAAGAGATTGGATGCCTTCGTTGAGGAGGTAGCTAACGGTTCCTATGTGTTGCCTTCCACACTGGATGCTTCTCCAGACCATCCTTGGGGAAGATGAATAGGAGGGTGTTGCCACATTCATGTCCATTTCGAGCAGAACAGAAAAGGAAGAGGATGTGAGACTTAGGCGAGCCGGAGGCTTTTTTGGACATTTTAGCAAGATGCCGAGATGGCCACCAAAGCCAGCGTTTCGTTGCTGGGCATGGACAAACTTTTCTTCAATCTTTCCCGAACCTCTCACAAATTTGGAGAAGAAGAAGACATACACTCATTGAAGAGAAGTGGCGACTAATGATGGGGATGCAACCATAACACACAGTCTTTATGGGCACACACCAACGAAATTGCAACACAGGCATATACGACGAGGGTGGGTCACAAAGTATTGCCTCCATCACTCTAACTTTTATTTCTTTCCCAGCTACTGGACTATAGATGCATGATATGATAAAGGTAACTTTATTCTATAATACAGTCTTTTCTTGTTCAGATTGACTGATTGGAACCATGAATCGGAAGCTAAAAGAAAAAGTTGTTATTGAATTTCTGGCAAAAGAAGGTTGTGCCCTGAGCCGCCCTGAGTTGCCTACGGGCTGAGAGGGGCAGTATATAAATACAGTAAATAAATAATAAATAAATTGTGCACATAAAGAAACCCATAATCGCTTGAAGAATGTTTATGGGGATGCTGTAATGGACATCAGCAATGTTTGGCGTTGGGTGAAGAAGTTTAAAAGTTTCAAATTCAAATAACAGAGTGATGTAGGCATTGCTTTTTGACCCACCCTCATAATATCTGGAGAGAGGCTTCTGCGGAGCTTCTGATGCATTGTAATGATGCTTTGGAGAGAGAAGGTGGGGATTCTCCCTCCAAAGCTCCTGGTATCATTTTCATGCACCAGAGAAGCCTCATAGAATTATAGAAAAACAGAGTTGGAAGAGACCACATGGGCCATCTAGTTCTGCCATTGCAGGAAAAGCACAATCAATGCCCTCCCAACAGATTGCCATCCAGCCTCTGTTTAGAAGCCTCCAAGGAAGGACTATGAGGCAGAGTTCCACTGTTTAGAAGCCTCCAAGGAAGGCTCTGAGGCAGAGAGTTCCACTGCTGCACATCTCTCCTTACAGTCAGGCGGTTCTTCCTGATGTTCAGGTGGAATTCCTTTCCTGTCATTTGAGCCTATTGCTCCAGGTCTTGGTCTCCAGATCAGCAGAAAACAAGCCTGCTCCCTCTTCTTTGTGACACTGTTTCACATTTTTATACACATGTGGGTAAAAAGCATTGCCTCTATAGCTCTAACTTGTATTTCTTTCACAGCTACTGGGCTATCTATGCATGATACGATAGAGGTAACTTTACCCTACTGATACAGTATTTTCTTTTTCCAATTGACTGATTCGAACCATTAATCTGAAGCTAAAAGAAAGAGTCGTCATTGAATTTCTGACAAAAGAAGGTTGTGTGCCTAAGGGTCAAAAAGTAATGCCTCCATCGCTCTGTTATTTCTTTCACAGCTACTGTATGCATGATAGGATAGAGGTAATCGTACCCTACTGATAGAGACTTTTCTTGTTCAGATTGACTGATTAGAACCATGAATCTGAAGCTAAAAGAAAGAATCATCATTGAATTTCTGGCAAAAGAAGGTTGTGCACCTAAGGAAATCCATCATCGCTTAAAGAATGTTTATGGGAACGGTGTAATGGACATCAGCAATGTGTGAGCTCTGAAAGTCAGCCTATGTGGTTTCAGATTCAATGACCTGAACGACATTCAAACAGCTTTAAAATCATGGGTCACAAAGCAAAACCCTGAATATTTCCAAAACGGGTTGGATGCCTAGGTTCAACAATGGCATAAATGTGTCCAAATTGATAGTGACTTTGTTGAAGGGTAGTTTTGCGTAGAAGACAGTTCAGGGTAGCGCCTGGAGCAAGTTCTGCTGTTCTAGGTTCACTCATAACATTTTTATGACCCAGGAGGCAAAACTTTTTGACCCACCCCTGTACATGGCCATTCTCACTTCTCCTCTCAACCTTCTCTTCTGAAGGCTAAACATGCCCAGCTCTTTCAGACACTCCACTTCTATAGGAATTCATGGTCTCCCGACCTGTAGAGGACAGTTCAGGCTATGATCAGGAGCAAGTTCTGCTGTTCTAGGTTCATTCATAACTTTTTTATGACTCAGGAGGCAAAACATTTTGACCCACCCCTGTACATAGCCCTTCTCACTTCTCCTCTCAACCATCTCTTCTGCATGCTAAAGATGCTGAAGTCTTTCAGACGCTCTTCTTCTATAGGGATCCATGGTCTCCATGGATTGTTTTAATCGCTCCCAAATAGACCCCTTCCAGGTTAAGAGTCAGGATATTAATATCAACTGTGGCACCCAGTGGGACACAGTGTGATTCAAGGTAAAGAGACCAAAGCAGAATACAAAGGCACTATGGCTTTACTCCAGTGGTTCTCAACTTTCCTAATGCTGTGACTCTTTAATACAGTTCTTCATGTTGTGGTGACCCCCAACCATAACATTGTTTTCATTGCTACTTCATAACGGTAATTTCGCTACTATTACGAATCATAATATAAATATCTGATATGCAGGATGTATTTTCATTTACTGGACCAAATTTGGCATTTGGGAGTTGTACCTGATTTTGTCGTTTGGGAGTTGTAGTTGCTGAGATTTATAGTTCATCTACAATCAAAGAGCATTCTGAACTCCACCAATGACGGAATTGAACCAAAGTTGGCACACTGAATTCCCATGACCAACAGAAAATACTAGAAGAGTTTGGTGGGCATTGACCTTGAGTTTTGGAGTTCACCTACATCCAGAGAGCACTGTGGATTCAAACAATAATGGATCTGGACCAAACTTGGCACGAATACTCAATATGCCCAAATTTGAACACTGGTGGCGTTTGGGGAAAATAGACCTCGACATTTGGGAGTTGTAGTTGCTGGGATTTATAGCTCACCTACTATCAAAGAGCATTCTGAACCTCACCAATGATAGAATTGGGCCAAACTTCCCACACAGAACCCCCATGACCAACAGAAAATACTGTAGGTTGTTGTAGGTTTTTCAGACTATATTGCCATATTCTAGAAGCATTCTCTCCTGACATTTTGCCTGCATCTATGGCAAGCATCCTCAGAGGCTGTGAGAAAATACTGTGTTTTTTGATGGTCTTTGGTGACCCCTCTGACACTCCCTCACGACCTCTCCAGGGGTCCCGCCCTCCAAGTTGAGAAATACTTTTACTGGCCCAGGCATGGGCCAACTTTAGCCTTCCCTCCAGGTGTTTTGGACTTCAACTCCCACAATTCCTAACAGCCTCAGGCCTTTTCGCTTAAGCGACTGAGGGGGGAAAGGAAGGGGCCTGAAGCTGTTAGGAATGGTGGGAGTTGAAGTCCAAAACACCTGGAGGAAAGGCTGAAGTTGGTCTGTGCCTGTTCTAAAGTATAGTTAGTGAAAAATTCGGCACTATAACGAAATTTCGTTACTATTTCGTTATATTAATTACACATAGTATAATTGGGAAAACTTCTCATTTTTAAAGCTATTGGAGTGAATCTTGCTATTAGGAATGGTGGGAGTTGAAGTCCAAAACAGCTGGAAGGCTGAAGTTGGTCCCTGCCTGTTCTAAAGTATAGTTAGTGAAGAATTCGAGAGTAACGTTACTATTTCGTTACAGTAATTACACATCATTACTCTACTTGGGGAAACTCCAGGGGCCCCTTTCTCCCTCATTTGTAAAGCTATTGGAGTGAAACTTGCTGTTAGGAAGGGTGGGAGTTGAAGTCCAAAAGAGCTGGAGGGAAGGCTGGAGTTGTCCCGTGCCTGCTCTTCTATCCCAGCGGGGGACGCCTGCCTGCCTGCCTGCCCGCCTGCCCGCCTGCCCACCCATGCCTGTGCCTGCCTGGGGGACTCCCCTTGCGGCTTGCTCACCTGGGCCTTTCCTCGGGAGGCGCCTCTGCGGGGCGGGAGGCGGTGTGAAGCGGCCAGGGCAGCGGCGTTGGCTCCTTCTCCGGCTCCGCTCCGCTTCTCCCTCCGCTGCCGGATGCTGCTGCTTTCGCGGCCGACCCTGCCTCTGGCGGCGACAGCCATGCCGTGGGCTAAGGCTCCGGGCTCCTGCCGCGCCCGCTCTTCCAGGCTGCTGAAATTCCAGACCACCAGGCTCTGCAGGAGGAGCACCGAGAGAGCCAGCAGCAGCGCCGAGTGCGAGCGGCGGGCCAGGCGGCGGGCGCAGGGCGAAGCGGGAGAAGAAGAGGAGGAGGAGGAGGAAGAAGAGGAGGAGGAAGACGAAGAGGAGAGGACCATCTTCGCAGCCGGCGCAAGGCAGAGGACGAGGAGGAGCAGGCACTCGCAGCGCCCAGCACCGCCGCCGCCGCCCGGAGTCTTTCAGGCGGAGAGACGTCAGCGGGAGGAGGAGGCGCCGGCAATAAGAGGAGGAGGAGGAGGAGGAGGAGGAGGAGGGGCGGGAGCAGACCCCCCCTCTCTCTCCCCTCCTTTTTCTCCTTCTGCCTTTTCTCCTCCTCCTCCTCCTGGACCCCCCTTCTCTTTCTCTCTCCTCCCTTTTCTCCTTCTCCTTCTCCTCCTCCTCTTCTTGGCCCCGGCTGCTGCTGCTGCTCCTCCTGCCGCCCTCCATCCACTCCAACCCCTGCTGGAAGAGAGCAACCAGAGCCACCCGGACAGATGGCCATCCAGCCTCGACTTCAGCGTTTCTCAACCTGGGGGTCGGGGGTCGGGAGGGGAGTGTCAGAGAGGTCGCCAAAGACCATCAGAAAACACAATATTTTCTCTTGGCCATATGCCCAAATTTGAATACTGGTGGGGTTTGGGGGGGGGGGGGTTGGTTTTCAGACACTCCACTTCTATAGGGATTCATGGTCTCCAGACCTGTCGAGGACAGTCCAGGCTAGGATCTGAAGCAGTGGTTCTCAACCTTCCTAACACCGCGACCCCTTAATCCAGTTCCTCACATTGTGGTGACACCCAACCCTAAAATTATTTTCGTTGCTACTTCATAACTGGAATTTTGCTACTGTTGTGAATCGTCATGTAAATATATGATAGGAAGGGTGGATTTTCATTCACTATATCTTGAGAGTTGTAGTTGCTGGGATTTATAGTTCACCTAAAATCAAAGAGCATTCTGAACTCCACCAGCGATGGCATTGAACTAATATTGGCACACAGAACTCCCACGACCAACAGAAAATACTAGAAGGGTTTAGTGGGCATTGACCTTGAGTTTGGGAGTTGTAGTTCACCTACCTCCAGAGCACTGTGAACTCAAACAATGATAGATCTGGACAAAACTTGGCACGCATACTCAGTATGCCCAATTGTGAGCACTGGTGGAGTTTGGGGGAAATAGACCTTGACATTTGGGATTTGTAGTTGCTGGGATTTATAGTTCATGTACAATTAAAGAGCATTCTGAACTCCACCAACGATGGAATTGAACCAATCTTGGCACACAGAACTCCCATGACCAACAGAAAATACTGGAAGGTTTGGTGGGCATTGACCTTGAGTTTTGGAGTTGTAGTTCACCTACATCCAGAGAGCACTGTGGACTCAAACAATGATGGATCTGGACCAAACTGTACGCAAGTATTAAGGGGGGGGGCTTGAGGGCTTCACCCCCCCCCCCGAAATTCTCATGGTGGTTCGCGAAAAGGCCTTACTGGTGCATTATTTAAACTTATGTTTATTCATATCATGATCTGATCACCATACTCAATATATCCCATATGCAAGGGGGTATTGGGGTAACGATACAAAAGGTTTGCTAGGGTAGACCCTCTTTCACTCAGACTCAGCCCCCCCCCCGAAACCCCCCCTAAACTTGGTGCATATACTCAATATGCCCAAATGTGAACACTGGTGGAGTTTGGGGAAAATAGACCTTTACATTTGGGAGTTGTAGTTGCTGGGATTTATTTAGTTCACCTACAATCAAAGAGCATGCTGAACATCACAGATAGAATTGGGACAAACTTCCCACACAGAACCCCCATGACCAACAGAAAATGTTGTGTTTGCTAATGGAGGGCTTTTCGTGGGAGAATTCGTCGTCTGTTTCCAATAAGGAAGAGAAGGACAGGTGGAGAGATCTTCAACGTTCCCTGCCAAAGGGGTTCCTAAGATCATCAGAAATTTATATTTTCTGATGGTCTATTTCAACCCCTCAGAAACCCTCCCCCCCGCAACCCCTCCAGGGGTCCTGACCCCAAGGTTGAGAAACAGTGGTATAGAATAATAGAGTTGGAAGAGATGAAGGGCCATCCAGTCCTTCTGCCTTCATGCAGGAAAAGAGCAATCAAAGCACCCCCGACAGATGGCCATCCAGCTTCTACTTATTATTATTGAATCATAGTTGGAATAGACCCCAAGGGCCAGCCAGTCCAGCCCCCTTCGTTCAGGAAAGGAGCAACCAATGTGCCCCCTGTGTTATTCTATATTTTTGAGTATAGAATAACAGAGTTGGAAGAGACCCTAAGGGCCATCCAGTCCTTCCGCCTTCATGTAGGAAAAGAGCAACCAAAGCCTCCCGGAGAAATGGCCATCCAGACTCTACTTATTATTACTGAAATATAGTTGGAAGAGACCCCAAAGGTCATCCAGTCATTCTGCCTTCATGCAGGAAAAGAGCTATCAAAGCATCCCCAACAGATGGCCATCCAGTCTCTGCTGCTTATTATTATTATTATTATTATTATTATTATTATTATTATTATTATTATGTGTATGGTGGCACAGCGGGTTAAACCGCTGAGCTTCTGAACTTACTGGCTGAATTTGAATCCAGTGATTTGAATCCAGGGAGTGGGGTGAGTTCCCACTGTTAGCTCCAGCTTCTGTCAACCTAGCAGTTTGAAAACATGCAAATATGAGTAGATCAATAGGTACTGCTTCAGTGGGAAGGTAGTGGTGCTCCATGTAGTCATGCTGGCCAAATTACCTTGGAGATGTCTACAGACAATGCCAGCTCTTCAGCTTAGAAACGGAGATGAGCACCACTCCACAGAGTCAGACGCAACTAGGTTTAACATCAGGGGAAACCTTTATGTTTACTTTAGAGTTTGGAAGAGACCTCCAAGGGCCATCCAGTCCAGCCCTGTTCTGCCTCCATGCAGGAATAGAGCAACCAAAGTGCTCCCAACAGAGGGCTATCCAGTCTCTTATGATGATGATAATGATTATTATTATAGAATCAAAATTGGAAGAGACCCCAAAGGCCATCCAGTCCAGGCCCCATTTGCCTTCATGCAGGAAAAGAGCAACCTAAGCACCCCTGACAGATGGCCATCCAGTCTCTATTACTGAATCCTAGAGTTGGAAGAAAATCCAAGGGCCATCTAGTTCAGCTCCTGCCTGCCTTCATGCAGAAAAAGCACAACCAAAGTGTGCCTGACAGATAGCTATCCAGCCTCTATTATTGGTATTGAATTATAGAATTGGAAGAGATCCCAAAGGCCATTCAGTCCAGCCCCCTTCATGCAGGAAAAAAGCCCAGGACGGAACTCTGCTTATGGCACACCACTCATCACGTCTTTCCAGGATGAAAGAAGTGACAAAGGGGCTCTTCAATTGCATCTTAAATTCTAACCACTTGTTTAAGTGTTGGATCTCTTCTGGCGGGTCATTGCACGTATTCTGAAGGGCCTTTCATATGGAATGTTTTTCATAATTTTGTGCAAGAAACCAAGTCTGCATACAACGAATCCTAAGAAAGCCTTCTTAAAATCTCTTTAAATTTCAGATCTGAAAGTCCCTTCTCCAGATGCCACCTTTAGGCTGGACATGGCGCAGCAGTGAACTGTGTGCTGCTCAATGAAATGCAACCTGGCTTCCCAATTCCTAGGCCAGCCTTTCAGATGTGTTTGGCTTCAACGCTGATCACCAGTGCCAGACAGTGTCACCAATTTGTCAAAACTGTAGTAGAAAACACCTAGAGGGCACCAAATTGGAGCAGGCTGAAATCCCATTGCATGTTTGTATGCTAATGAGCTGTAAAAAATCCCTATAACGTTATCAGACAATTCAATCTTAGGCCAAGACCAGCTTTGGGACTGCACTGCACTGTAGACCAGTGGTCCCCAACCAGTGGTTCGTGGACCACCAATGATCCCCAAGACAAAAAAAAAACGATCTGCAAAAACATTTTAAAACCTTTATGGCAAATGGAGGAGGATGGGGGGGGGAAGGTTGCAGCCTTGAATCTGGGGAGTGGGGGTGAGCTCCCGCTGTCAGCCCCAGCTTCTGCCAACCTAGCAGTTTAAAAACACGCAAATGTGAACAGATTAAAAGGTACCACAACAGCGAGAAGGTAACAGGGCTCCATGCAGTCATGCCGGCCACATAACCTTGGAAGCATCTACAGACAATGCCAGCTCTTCGGCTTAGAAATGGAGATGAGCACCAACTCCCAGAGTCAGACACGACTCGACTTAATGTCAGGGGAAAACCTTTACCTTACCATGTACTCCAGGCCCTTCCTCACAGCCATTTAACTCAGAATATCAAGGCAGAAAATCCGACAATATCTGCTTTGAACTGGGTTGTCTATGAGTCCACACTACCATATATTCCAGTTCAGGCTGACCCTCTATTCTACCTTGGTTAGACCACACCTGGAATCCTACTGTGTCCAATTCTGGGCACCACAATTGAAGGGAGATGTTGACAAGCTGGAATGTGTCCAGAGGAGGGCAACTGAAAAGATCATGGGTCTGGAGAACAAATCTTATGAGGAGCAGCTTAAAGAGCTAGGCATGTCTAGCCTGCAGAAGCGAAGGCTGAGAGGAGACATGATGAGGGCCATGTATAAATATGTGAGTGGAAGTCATAGGGAGGAGGGAGCAAGCTTGTTTTCTGCTGCCCTGGAGACTAGGACGTGGAACAATGGCTTCAAGCTTATTTATTTATCGTGTCAGGAGCAAACCAAACAGTTGTATTGCATTTTTAACAAACAAACAAAACATAAAGTTTGCAAGCTTAGTAGTTGATTAAATGTCCTTTGACCAGTATCTTGCCACTTGGAGTGCCTCTCGTGTTACTATAAGAAGGTCCTCCATTGTGCATGTAGCAGGGCTCAGGTTGCATTGCAACAGATGGTCTGTAGTTTGCTCTTCTCCACACTCGCATACTGTGGATTCCACTTTGTAGCCCCATTTCTTAAGGTTGGCTTCAAGCTGCAGGAAAGAAAAGAGATTCCACCTGAACACGAGGAAGAACTTCCTCACTGCACAGAGAGCTGTTCAGCAGTGGAACTCTCTGCCCTGGAGTGTGGTGGAGGCTCCTTTGGAGGCTTTCAAACAAGGGCTGGATGGCCATCTGTTGGGGATGCTTTGAATGTGATTTTCCTGTTTCTTAGCGGAATGGGGTTGGACTGGATGGCCCACAAGGTCTCTTCTAA